CAAATTTAAGGAGTGGTGGTAGTAATCACTCATATTTACAATATAAACTGAACTTAAAAAATGTATTAAAACATTTCTAATCCTAGATTAGAAACATTTCTAACACTAGATAATAAATTGATCATATATTTGACAAAGAAATATTTTCAAGAGTTTCGTTTTTGTTTTTTATGAGGAGTAAAGTCTTCCCTTTTGCAGAAGTCCCCCATGGCACTGATATCTTGATGAAAACGCTCTTGTTTATCATTTACAATCCTTAAGTTTTGTAGAAAGTAATCAAATCGGAAAATGCACTTTTATAGACATTTGACAGCCAAATATTTTACAATTTTCCAATAGTTTTTAGATAAATATCGAATAATTTGCCAAGAAATATGGGGACTCTTAGAAGAATTTCAAGCAGTTACATAATTTTTCTGTTTTTAATTTTCATACAAAAACTTTTCGCATCACTTACTTTAGGGCAGTTTTTTTATTATTTAACCCTGGGTTAACGTTTATCGAAAAAAAAATTAATTAAAAATGTGTTGGAGATTTTTTCTTTTTACCATTATGTGTTTTAAGACTGGTACCAAAAATTATGCTTGTTACAAAAGGAAATAGTTCGATAGTTTAAAGTCTTGTGTTTTTTTTTTTTTTGACTTACTTGCGTGTAGAATTTGATTTCTCTGAGATCGAATTGCGCTTCGGTGACAAAATAGCGACTGAAAGGGTCCTGGGGCAGCAGCTTGATGATGAAACTGAGACAGTGCGCGAGAGGATCATTTTTGAGAGAGTATTTGACGGCAACGGCGAGAATATCACTCAGGACGCTCTCCCCGGCATCGCAGCCCGGTTTCACTGTGAAATCGACGACGGTGATTGAGGTGGCGGCGTCGCCGAGGTCGTTGTGGTGGTGTCGAAGGACGGCCTGGAGCCATTCTTCGGTGACGGGCCAATCGGCGACGCTGCTCGTCTCTTCTTCGCTTTCGGACATCACTGGGCCATGCCAGGAGTGCGACTGTGTGTGCGACGCGACAGAAGGGCGTGGTGCAAGAGGGTGGCTGCTGCTGGTGGTGGTGGTGGTGGTGGTGGATCGATTAAATTCGCCAAAAGGCGCAACAATTCAAATAAATCAAGAAAAATTAAGTTTTAAACACTGGGATTATTAATATTAAAAAAAATTTGAGGTCGTGGCGATTTACAAACTGATTTGTATGGTAGAACGAATGGAATTATTGTATTGTGAATACGTCTTTTGTGTGTGGTATTTACACCGGAACTTGCCTTGTTTAACCAGACAATTACTATTGTCATTACCAGAGATTGAAAGTTGTGGTGGAAGTGGTAAATTATGGAAATTTTATAAATGTAGCAAGCATAGTTTGAAATATACACGGTGTCAGAATATCACAATCTTAACTAGATCAGAATGTGACATTCTAATTGTAATGATATAGGGGGTGTTTTACTCGACGAAAACGAAAAATCCTGTAAATTAGAATTCACAATAGAAAGATGAAAAATTGTTTGGTAAAAAAAACATTTCAAAAAATGTACTACACACTCAAAATGTGTTTTTATATCATTAAACATGTATTATCGAGAGGATAAATATTTGTTTATGAGACTTAAAAACAAACCATTAAAAAAGCGCATTGTGTTGTTTGAACGAGAATGTTATTTAAAGGGATTAGAAAATTTAATTCAAATCAAATAACTAGTCTCTATTAATTTTCCCATAAATCTCAATAAAATATGTACAGTGCCTGACAATAAATTTGGTCTACCACAAATGTCCAAATGACATTCACCTCTAAAGCGGGATATACAGTGCCGGCCAAAAGTAAAGAAACAATTGATTTTTTTTTATTTATTTTTCATATAAATATGAGAACGAAAACGATTTATGTGCACTTATACTTAAGATCATTTTTTATAAGCTTTTTGGTCAAGTTGGATAATGTTTATACATACAGTGAACTTTTTACTATTTTGCTAAGGACAAAAGTAAAGAAACATTTTCATTTTACCTATTGTAAAGTTAATTACAACGTCGGTGCAAAACAGTTCCTACAAAAATTGTTCTTTAAAGAGTTGTAATTATGCCTAAAGGTAAACAACTGTCTCAAGACTTGAGAAAACTAATTATAGACAAATTTGAGGCGGGTGAGAAACAAATTGACATTGCCAGGCAATTGAACTTAAATCGCTGTCTTGTATCGAAAACAATTGCCTTATTTAAAAAAAGAAAAACTTTAGTAAGTGTTCCAAAAAGTGGAAGACCGCGTAAAACGGATAATTAAAAGACTTTCTCAAAATAATCCATTTTTATCTGCTGTAAAAATAAGACAACAAATTCCAAATGTGGGTATATCAGTGAGGTCCATTCGACGAAGACTGAATGAATTTGGACTCTACGGGCGAAAACCAGCAAAGACACCGTTTATTTCTGCCAAAAATAGACAGCGCAGATTGGAATTTGCTAGAGAGCATTTAAATTGGTCACCTACTCAATGGAAAAATGTGTTATTTTCCGATGAATGCATAGCTCAGACGGAATTCAGTGAGTAAGACGACCAAAACAGGAAAGATTTAATCCTAAATACTCAAAATGGACTTTGAAACATGGTGGTGGCAGCGCTATGTTTTGGGGTTGTTTTTCCGGTCACGGAGTAGGACCACTCCACGTTATTGGTGGAATAATGGACAGATTTCTTTATCTTCGTATTTTAAGAGAAGAAATGCTTCCTTTTGCTGAAGATAATATGCCGCTGAGATGGACTTTTCAACACGATAATGACCCCAAACATACAGCCAAAGTTGCAAAAGATTGGATTTTAAAGGAACAAATACCTGTAATGCAATGGCTTGCTCAGAGTCCCGATCTCAATCCTATTGAGAATCTTTGGGACTATATTGATCGTCAATTAAGAGAAGAAAACAGTCGAGGTTTCAATTCAAAACAAGAATTAATCGAAGCCGTAAAAATAACGTGGAAAAACGTAAGCTTAGAATATATTAATAAGTTAATCGATTCTGTAACATTTATATGTAATTATAAATTTATTGTTTCTTCACTTTTGTCCCTTGAAAAAATAAAATAAATTTTTCATTCAACAACAAGTGTTTAATTCTTACTAAATTCTGTAAAATATATTTAAGAATAACCCAACAAATTACTTGTAATAAATTATATAAAAATCAAATACACCTACAATGAAATATTTAATATTCGCAAATGTTTCTTTACTTTTGGCCGATAGTGTATGTGAACTAACATCACCTATTAAGTCTTGACATAGGTTATCATAGATTGTTATCATAGAACTTTATTAAAATATGTAATTGAAAGCATATTGATGGCTGACAGTTGTGACAGTATTATGACAATAAAATAATCTGCACGTCAATTATATTGACAATTGTTTTTGAAGTGACAGAACAATGGTGGACCAAATTTATTGTCCGGCACTGTACCACGTACGAAGTATACTTATAGGTGTTTATAATAAAACTCACTGGAATAATAATAATAGTGTTACTATTTTTACAAAGAAGTTTATTAACGACATGTTATGTACATACAACATTTGACGCGGACATTACTTTTTCAATTTTTAACATTCAGATCAAAACCAAAAACATACAGGATGATTCACAGTAACCGTATAACAAATTGCAAAGAAAAATTTTGTACTGATTTTTCTACAGTCATTTAAAGATACAACTTTAATAGTAATTTTTTATTCACAATCAAAAAGTAATATTCAAATTACCTTACATATGAAAAGTTGGAAAGTATGATATTTCAACTTCATTTAACAATTCCTTATTATGAAATATCAAGTTCGAGTTGAGAAGTGGTCATTTCCTTGTCAGTTGATATGTAATATGATAGTTCAGATTGAATATATTAATATATAAAATTTAAAAAATGACAAATATATTACGACTTTTTTGTTTACTTTTTTGTATGAAGTAGTGGAGCTTCTTGTCTCTAGATTTATCATTAGGGTTTTGTAATACAGATTCTTCTTTACCTCAAAAAATGCAGATGCGACGTTGCCAGTGTGCCAATAGAAAAGTCTTGGGATATACAAGACAAGAGTAGAAAAAAAGAGCGTAAAAAAATCAAAATCAAAAATTCGTTCTCCATGGTTACGTTGATAGCAATAAAAAATGGATATCTGTGGTACCAAACGTTTTAAATTATTGATTGCAGACACGTGATTTAGGTCTAGTGCAGGATTTGTGCTATTTTTAAACATTTATATTTTGAAAAATAGGTATGCAATGAAAAAATATAATAAAAGCATATATTTGATTATCAGTGATAACACTTTTCACTACATGAGTCACCGTGTATTTGCCGATTTTTCAAAACAATTACCTAATTTCATCTTTTTTATTAAACTGGTTAAATGGATTATATGATATTTTTTTCTATTTAAATACACCAGCATCGTATAATGAAAATCCACCTACGTAAATGTGGAATGCATGTAGGTTACTAATGTTCGACAATCCGGGAATATGCATCATTATCCTCTCATTACTTTTATTACAGGCCAAAATTTAATCCAGTACATCTCACACTTTCTTAGTCTCCCCAACTGTCTTTTGTAGCACGATGTTTTGAAAACTCTGGATTGGCATTTTTTTTTATTCAAGCATTGCTTTAAGAAGTTTTTAAATGTTTTTTTGCAAGTTTAGAAATTTTTTAAACCAGTACATCTGACTCTTTCTTAGTCTCCCCAACTGTCTTTTTGTTGCACGATGTTTTGAAACGTCTCGATTGGCATTTTTACAACTAAATTTAAACATTTCCTTAAGAATTTTTCTTCTTTTGAAAATCAAAAGTCAGTACATTTAACACTTTCTTTTTACTTCAAGTCAAAGTAATCCGAAGTAGCCTAAAGTGACCTGAACCGACCTGAAGCTACTCGAAGTGACCCAAACATTATTTTTTACAATGTAAAAGACACTTTACTAAATAAAAATGAAACTCTTAATCAAATCCGATAGGATTGATGAAAATCCATCTACGTACAGTTGGAGACAAAATACTTTGGTCCTCAATGTCACTTGAGTGACATTAAATTGTAAAGCATGCTTTAGGACTGTTAATCTTATTTTTAGCTACTGTCAATGATAGTTGACAAGTTGTATGTACATATTTTTGATAGGAAAATATAATAAAGTCTGTTTTTTTTTTAAATGGAAATGCCAAATAGTCTTAACGTTGGCATCACTACTACATTCATTCATGGTAATTTTAATAAAGGAAGTTGGCAGTTCCGATTTTTTGAATTAATTTCAAAACAATGTCATTAAACGTCAACACAAAAAATCGTCTAAGAAAATTTAGAGACGAAACACCAAAAAAACGAACAAATTCGGTACTGCTAACAGTTTTTCGAAATTTGGAAACGAATAGTTCGCAAGCAGGAAGTTAGAAAAAGGGCCCGTTAAAATGTAGACGCAATTTGTAATGCAGGTTTGGTAAACATTCTTAATTTTTAGCAAAAAATTGACAAGAATACAAAATGAACATGAATGAGAAAGAATCTCGGACAAAACGCAATTAAATTAGTGTCTTGTGCATCGTTTTTGAGGAACGAGTTGAAAAAGTAACAATTTTGAAACTAAAACTGAAGAAGAATTTATAAAATGCATCAACTTTGAGCTCATTTCAATAAATTACACAAAGTTTATTGCCAATCATCAAAATACCCACTTGGTATCTTTTGCTAAATAACTTTTTTCTGTATATACATCCTTTTTCTTCAATGTTTTTGTAATTTTTGTCAAAATTATTAGCCCTGAATTCTGTCTTTAGACCTTAGGTAATGATGTCCGTCCTCAGATATTCAATTATAGTGCTTTAAAAGAGCAAACAGGCACACCAAATTCATAAAAGTCAAAATTTTGACAACATCTCAATTTGAACACAACCATAATTTTTTAACAAAATTTCTAGGGACAAAAACAAAGAGCAAACAAAATTTGTGGCTAGCTGCTACCAATTTTTTTTACTCTAACAAACATACAAATGTTAATATTTTGGTATAAATTGAATAAAAGAATGTGAGAACATCAGCTTTCATTTATTTAATTTTTTTTTGTTGTTTTTTCAGGTGATGATCTCTCCAATCCTGGCCGGTCTTGCCGTAGGAATCGGCGTTCCGATTTTGCTCTTCTACGTCTACGGTGTAGTTCCGGTCTCGCTGTGTCGTTCCGGCGGATGTGGCGGTTCTTCGTCATCGGACGATTCAGCAATCGTAACAAATCGCACAGCTGATAATTCCTCAATCGACGCTGTCAGCGCCAAAGTGGCCAATCCTTCCATTGGCGAGGCGAGTCTTTCAATGGCGAGCGGCAGTCAAGTCTTGAGAGAACCCGATCGAGAATCTTCCAGTACTGTAGCTTTGGCGGGCAGTATGGCCGGCCATCGACTCGAAGTCCAAGCCGATTTGGCTTCAGCGCAACGCTTCAGCATCAGCAGTCTTTCAGAATCGACCGGAGACGACGGAGGAGCCTCCACAAGGGCCCTAGCTGGATCCATGTTGAACTACAAAGTGAGTTGAATACACAGGTCGACAAAAAAAAAGTCATGTCGTGACAACTTGACAAATTTTATATCATTTTGTTCGTCTCAGTGAGACAAATCAAATGCACCAAAAAAAAAATTCAAAAAGTCCACACACTTTTCTAATTTAAATGAATTTAAAATACTTTAAAAAATCATTACTCAATAACTATTAGGCCGATTTCCTTCAAATAAAGTCCATTCCAAAGGGATGGCCTTGCCCTTTAGAATGATATAAAATTTGAAATTGAATATTGGCAAACTTTTCTTCGAACAGTGTTCGAAGAAGTTCGAAGTAATCTAAGAAAAACCCTACGAGCAATTTTTTTATCTTTGTCACCATCATGTAGAGCATCTTTTTATTAGTAGAAATCCAAATTTTCAAAATAATATGCCGAGTAGTTTTTAAGATATGATTTTTTGAAGTTAAAGTATTGCGCCATATAGGAGAAATGTATGTTAATCTAACTTAAAATTGCATTTTTATAAAAGTATTTGTTTTAAGACTCTTTTTTTGCTTAAAAATGGTCAATTGCACCTTCTTTGTTCTAATTAGAATAAACAAAAACTGTTTCTTTACTTAAATAGTATATTAAAGAACAAGTTTT